CCTTGTCAGTATCAGTAATTTGAGTTTCTAATTTGTAAGAAACTATAGACCGTGTATTTGTACATCATAAACATCTAATTTGAACCAGTGCTGCATTCAACATAGCACATGACACACAAAAATCAATATTTAGGTGTGTTTTTTTATATATATATATTTACTTTTAAATTAAGGAATTAACTAATGTATAATACTAAAATTTCAATTATAATCTACAATTTGATACTAAATTTATAGACATAAATTCATAAAATAGTCATTCAATAAACTTTTGAATGCGAGTCAACAAAAATTATGACATGGCCTTTGACTCGTGTCGATAGGGATAACCCAATAATGGTTATTTCGTAATTGGCACACAGTTTTCATTATGGAATACATAATACTAACTACCTGTAGTATTGTTGGCTGCTTGATCAACTATAGCATTTGTATAATTGACACTTGAAATCTGATGATGCCTTTTACTGGCAAAACCATGGTCTTAATAAATGGTGTATTTGTGAAACATACACTTGTCTTGTTTTTCCTCAACTCTGTATAGCATTTATGGTTGTTTAATACCTAAATGTATTATAGTTAAAGATACAGTTAAATTGTATTTAGGTCTTACTTTTATACTTCAGTTAATTATGTGTTATTGATGTTTTAAAATGCATAATTGAAAGGCTTAAGCATTTTTTAATATATATCCTACTTTGCATCAGTTCTGAATGCTTACAATATTATGCAGTGCACAAATATTTTGCAGTAGGGTTGCGCACCTATGCCAGAGGGCATCATTGACTTGTGTTGAGATGAATAATAAATGGTAAAGGACAAGAAAAAAATAAAACATTAAAAATTAAGTATATATGAGAAGGAAAAGACCTGAAATTACAAATATAACCAAAACAAAATCTCTAAAGATATTCTACAAAAAATCAATAGGTATGTACTTTTTTTTTTCTTATTTTCTAATGTTAATTATTTCTATTGTCATTGTTACATTGATGATAATAGCTAGAGTTAGTGATATGTAGAGAAAATGAAAATAAATATATAAACATTTACCTTAAAAAACTTTTGATATTCATTTAAGAGTTCTAGAGGTTATGCAAATAAAATATGATATATAGAAAAGTATTTTTATACTTAAAATGAAAATCACCTTTCACTTGAACTATTCAGAGTAATATTTTAGTACTATTGTCTCAATGAGTAATAAAATATTTCAGTACTGTTGTTTCAATAAGTAATAAGATATTTCAGTACTGTTGTTTCAATAAGTAATAAGATATTTCAGTACTGTTGTTTCAATAAGTAATAAGATATTTCAGTACTGTTGTTTCAATAAGTAATAAGATATTTCAGTACTGTTGTCTTGGTAAGTAATAAGATTATTTTAACTAACCATATAAGTTGTTTTGCTTTACCAGAAGTAAATTACTATGCAATGTCATTCTGTATAAAAGATAGTTACATGAAATTATTGTCTGAAGTTGACGTTTTTGCTTTTAACTATGTATTTTAGGGAGGTGGTTATGGATCCGAATCAGAACATTCCATTTGATGTTCTGATGACACTTGTTGATCTCAGTTATGGAAGTTTTGGACTGTACAATTTTTACAAAATGCAGGTGTGGTAAAAGATATATATATTTATTGTTGTTTTTATTTTTCATGAAAAATCTTAAATAGAAGGAATTATATATTTTTAGGCATTTCTTCAAACTGAAGCTGTGTAGATTTGAAACAACATTTAATTCTATTAACAACAACATAACTTAGAACTTGTAAATGTAAAAAGTAAATGTGATGTTTAATTAATTATTGCATGTGAAATCGATCGTCCAGTGTAACATCAACATATCACTTCATGCCAGCTCAATGTGTCAGTTTTTTAAAGTCATCATGAACCTAGTGTGTATATGGTAAAAACCTAAACATTCAAGATGTTGCAGCCAGTTTGCCAGATAACTTAATTTGTAATTATTTTAATCTTATTCCTGAATAGAGTAACCATTGATCTCATGACATCTTTTGAAATTCTTTTAAGTATTTACTAATATTTAGAGGCTTGGCTTTTGCTATCCCACACTAGACTTTGAAAAAGTGAGTTTTTGGTTTGTATTTTGTCACTGAAGTATTGATATTATAGTAGTGTAATTTTCTGGAAAATAAGTAAATAGCAAATATTATTACAATGATTTCACTGAAATAAATATTGTGCAAGGAAGTTACATATGTAACAAAAAGTAGCAAGTTGGTTTAAGTCCTGTATTTTATTGTGCCACTAGACTGGGGGAAAGAAACTTCTTGTTTATTCATATTTTGTCATTCTGTGAATAATTACCAAAGTTGAGAGATCCATATTTTATTAATTTAACAAATTTCAGAAAATTATGTTTGTACACATTTAATTTTTTGTACAACTTATTGAAGTGCTAAAACATTAAAAAACATGAAGCCAAACAAATTTCTACAACAACTATATTAAAATATTATCAGAATATAACTACCAATATACTTCATTTTTACAAGAACAAGTAATTATTGCAGAAATGAATATCAGAAACACTGTACATAGAAGGCAGAGGAAACTATCTCGGTTTAATTAAGAATCAGGAACTCGCTAGATCAGTAAAGGAGTTAGTTTCCTTTTCTGTATATTTACAATGGAGTGTAACTAATACTATACTAAAAACTTCTGTGGGATTAACATGAACCAGTGGCTTTAAATTTTGATTTTTACAATATGTTTAGTTCCTTCAATATAAATGGCTCATCATCTAGAAAAAGAACAAAACATAAGAGAAATGGAATTGAAGAGTGTGACTATTCAGTGGTACTTAAAGTGCTGTGTTTTTAACAGTTTGAGATATATATCTGTAAATTTAAGTTAAACATATATTGGCAAATGGATATTGCAGTGTACTGTAAGTTTATATTAATAAGATGAAAGAAGAAAAAAGTTCATAACATA